ATTAATTATTTAATTAAAAATATTCACATATTAAAATTAATATTTATATTTATATATTTTTTAAAATAAATTGATAATGAAAATATCTGTGTCCTGATTATTAGAAAAATCTTTTTAAAAAACCTTCGAAAAAATGCTGAATTAGGACAAGAAATGTGTACGCGGTTTGCTAGTCTGAAAGGACAAATCACTTTAATTGAGGGAAGAAAAGAAGGAATAAAGAGGAAAAAACAAATAAAAAGAAAGAAGAGAGGGAATAGCAAAGAAAAAGCATCAAAGTCATTATACACAGCTACATTCTTCCCCATCACCTCAGCTAGTTGTTCTCAAGTCTCAAAAACAGCTTCTCATTTTGCTCTCTGAATCCTCGTGTTTGCCCTGTGTGGTTTGGCATTTGAGATCTGGTAAGTGGCTACGTTTTTCTGCTCTTTAATTGCTTTCAAAAGCTCTCGGAAATTCTTTAGTATTTTGGTAGAGAGGCTTAAACTATAACAATTGTACCTTTCAAGTCGATTGATTTTTGCTTGTATGTTGTATTGTTTGTTTGGTTATAAAATCCATCAAAAAACTTAAGAGATAAGTGAGACTCTTGGCTGTTTTAAATTGGACGCTTGACATTGTTATTATTATTTTAGTAAAATTCCATCTCCTTTTTCGACCAAAAAGAAGAGTATCTATTTCATGTTGCTTACCTTTCTCTTTTCCTTCAACTAATATGTGTAATTTGTTGTTCAAAAAAAAAAAAATATGTGTAATTTGTTAGCTACTCAAAACAATTTCTTGAGTGATTTCTATCTACTGTTCATGAATTTGAAGTGTGTTCGTTAGTTAATAAGATCAGATGTAGCAGTATTTGATTTTCTATGTAAGAGAGAGCGGTGATAAAGGAGAAAGAGAAAACTCACAAGATGGAAACATAATAACAAAAGATTCAATATTTGAGAAAACGCTGTTCTTTTTTTTTTTTCTTTCTTTCTTTCCGTCTTCTTGGTTATTACAACACTTTTCTGTTTTTTCTTTGTCTCAGAATTTAGTTGCTTGCTCGATCTTTCTCTGTCTCCAAGCATGATACTTGACTTTGTCGCCAAC